ATTCCTTCCATCATGTCGTTCGCATATATCAAAAATAGCACTGGCCCTAGAACTGACCCCTGTGGGACCCCGCTCGTAACAGGCGCCCACTGTGATACCTCTTCACGTACCATGACTCGTTGCTGCCTCCCTGTCAGTTATTCCCTGATCCACTGCAGTGCCCTCCCTGTTACATGCGCCTGATCCTCCAGCTTCTGCACTAATCTCTTGTGGGGAACTGTGTCAAAGGCCTTCCTGCAGTCTAGGAAAATGCAATCAACCCACCCCTCTCTCTCGTGTCTTACTTCTGTTACCTTGTCATAAAACTCCAGGAGGTTTGTGATACAAGATTTGCCTTCCATGAACCCATGCTGGTTTTCATTTATAATCTTGTTCCGTTCCAGGTGTTCGACCACTCTCCTCCTGATAATCTTCTCCATGACTTTGCACACAATACACGTACGTACACGCATGTGTGTGTGTGTGTGTGTGTGATTCAGTACAAAAATACAGCATGCAGTAATTATTAATCCAGTACCAACACACTGCTTGCAGGCTGTAAGCACTTTATTACACCACCTTCATACTTTTCAAGCTACTAGTGCTTTATTTCTACAGCTTTATCTTTTACCTCAAAACTCATCTCACTATTGTATTTAGTGTAAAGCTAGAAAAAAAAAATGGCACAAACTACAACCTTAACAAATACAAAAATGGCTGGAAAGCCTGTCCAGTTCGTTAAAACTAGAAACCAACAACAGTGCTGAGAGAACACATACTGTAAATAATCTGTCGAGTACTATAACAAATTTATATATTAATGTATAAGGTGAAGCACAGTGCAGTCTCCACTGTCTTGACACAAAATACTTAACAATAATTTTCAATAGATATTATTATGCCAAAATGATAATAAGAACATAGCAGACATACTGTACACATATACAATATGTCAAGAAAACCTAAAATAAGAAAACAAGAAAAAAATACAGCATCTCATATTAATCCATGTGACAAAACAGTAAAAATCAATCTGAAGATTTTCAAAATATTTTCTTTTAAATTTAAATTTTTTGCAACAAATATTTTGCTCATACAGTCGAACACTGTCGCCAAAGCTTTTTGTGACCAGGAGTTCTATGCTAGTTCCGAAAGTTGTGATTAAAAAAAAAAAAATTCCTACCAAAAGAAGTTCAGTGGACCCCCGGTATTTGATATTAATCCGTTCCTGAGAGCTCATCGAATACCAAAAATATCGAAAAGCGAATCAATTTTCCCCATAAGAAATAATGGATATCAAATTAATCCATGCAAGACACCCAAAAGTATGAAAAAAAATATTTTACCACATGAAATATTAAGTTTAATGCAATAAAATAATTACAATAACAACAATAACAATAGAATAATTGACACTTACCTTTAATGAAGATCTGGTGATGAATGATGGGATGGGAGGAGGGGAGTGTGTGGATGGTGTTAGTGTTTAGAAGGGGAATCCCCTTCCATTAGAACTTGAGGTAGCTAGTCCTTTTCCGGGGTTACTTCCCTTCTTCTTTTAATGCCAATAGGACCAGCTTGAGAGTCACTGGACCTCTGTCACACAACAAATCTGTCCATAGAGCTCTACCTCCCGCTCCTTTACGATTTGTCTAAAATGGGCCACAACACTGTCATTGTACAGTGGAACCTCAAATATCAAACTTTCTTCGGTCCAGAAGGCTGTTCAAGTGCCGCTACCGAACGAATTTATTACCATCAGGAATAATGTAAATTAGATTAGTCCATTTCAGACCCTCAAAAATACACTTATAAAAGCACTTACAAAAATACACTTACATAATTGATTGAGTTGGGAGCAGTTCGATTTTTGAGGTTCCACTGTAATAGTCACCAGCACGGCTTGCAATAGCTGTGTTAGGGTGATTTTCATCCATAAAGGTTTGCAGTTCAACCCACTGTGCACACATTTCCTTAATTTTTGAAGTAGGCACAATGGATTCCACAATTGGCATAGGCTTCTCAGGGTTAGCCCCAAACCCTTCAAAATCTTTCTTAATTTCCATACTAATTCTCACCCTTTTTACCACAGGGTTGGCACTAGAAGCTTTCTTGGGGTCCATGGAGACTAATTTTGCAGAAACAAGCACCAAAAACAATGATAATATGGAATGAACCGAATGTATCCTTAGATGTGCGCACACTGGCTGGCTTGTAAACACTGGCACACACGGGGCAGTTCAGGCCACAAGTGGACACGTCTCGTACGAATCGTATCGAATACCGGGTTTTCGATCAGATACCGAGGCGAAATTTTTGCGTTAAAATGCATCAAATACCGATGCCATCGAATACTGGGGGTCCACTGTATTCTGTATATCCTCTTCCAAATTCTTCAATAAAGATATTTAAAAAATTTCCTTCAGTTTTTAGAGCTGAAGGAGAGAGAAAAAGGATGCACCAGATGTTAACAGAACTACAGTGGTACCTTGAGTTCCGAACTTAATTCGTTCCAGAAGGCTGTTCGAGTGCCGATACCGAAAGAATTTGTTCCCATAAAGAATAATGTAAATTAAATTAGTCCGTTTCAGACCCCCAAACATACAAAATACACTTACATAATTGTTCAAGTTGGGAACTGTTTGAAACTCGAGGTACCACTGTATATATGACCATAAATTACAAAGATCAGAGAAGAAAGAATACCAGGCTGGACACTAGAAAAATATACAAGTGTCAAATATTCGTACTCTGCCTCCTCAACATCTAATAAGCATATGAGCGATGGGCTAAGAATTACAAGACTGCTAAGTTATTTGAAATCTTCCATGGTATCTGTGGCACTTGTTTCACAGTGTTATCTTTTATCAACTTGTCTGGTATCCTGTAAACAAGTATGATTTGTTTGCTATTAATGAATGCTTTGTCTTCATAAAGTATACAGTATATTCTAAACTGAATACACACTTGTCTATTACCATATGTTTTTTTTATTGCCATATAACTTTGTGGAGGTGGTTCTTCCTTTTCTTCTGACCTTTTATCCTTAGGGGACATGATAGGAGGATGGCTGGAGGTGCAGCATAAACACTGTGTACCTAATGCTTCACCAGTCAGTTGAGCAGAATAAGTATCAAGCATTGACACAATTAAGCAGTTTTTGGAAAACACAATTTTCCAACAGTTGGTGGCAAGTTCTTGTACAATCCATGCCTACTTGTTGGGTTGGTAATGACAACTCTTCTTTCAATGACTAGTAATCTGCACCTGTGTGCCAGAATCATTAACACATATCAAGACAGTATTTTCTTGACAAGTGTTAGATACTGATTGTTCAATCCTACAAGAAAATGCAAAGACCAATCAAGCAAATTATTCCACATACTGCTTGGTAGTTTCAAGATCCTGAAACAACTTTTTAACAAATACTTTGAGATGGTATACAACAGTGATTCATGAAACACGTGATGACAGCCTTGAGAACATTCACAATTCTTTGGGAGCCTCATTTCTCCATGAAATCTTCTGGATTTCTCTCCATCAATGTAGGCCAAAAAATGAGCATGACTTCAACTGTGATTCAGGAGAAACCATTCATTCAGAACACTGTTACCATCACCAGACATAGGGCAAACTAATGTTTATTACTTAGCAATGTCCATAACATTCACAAAAAACATGCACAATAAAACTGCTTGTATTAAGAATGTTTTTGCCTTTTAAGTCATGTCATGTACTGAAAATTGTTAGGATCTCCACAATTAAGTGTACCCAGTACAGTATTGGAACTTTTTGATGGATAGACAGCATAATTTTCTTATTCTTCATTGGACCAGAACTCTAAAAATGGCCAACTCCCACATGGTGGGCTCTGAATAATTTGGGTGATTGTTAGCATATAATGTCATGTACAATAGCTGAAAGCTGATCACTCTATATATATTATCATATCTGGACAATATATATCTACCTTTCCTGGGATCAAACCTAACTGAATCTCATTCCACAGGCTCTGTATGATCCCTAAGAGTGTGATGCTTCCCCAAGAATATAATAATGATGTTAATCTTTGTTGAACCCTGTGATCTGCCTGAATTCTATTTTTGGGGTAATGTTTTCTTGACCTTTATATTTGTATCTGTATGTTCCATATTTAGTCACAAGGATTCATAACAGGTGTAAAATTACACTTCTGGCCATATAGAGTACATGCCAAAATTAGCTAGTTCTATGAAAAATAAAAGAAAATCTCATGTTGCATTAGAATTTCTCATAGTCTCATCAACATTCAGCCAGGGTCAAGTCAGAGATGCATGGGTTGATACTTGCATCTCTGCCATTTAATCTCAACACAAAGGGTTATCCATTATAGGCAAGGTGGGCTAAATTGTCCTGTTAATATCAAATTCCTAATAAAATATCTCCAGATACACTGTTCGACTGTATTAGCAATATAAAAACTATTTAAAACATAATGGCATGCTTCTTTTATTAGTATTACCAGTATGAACAATGAAGCAACACAGTAACCCATTTAATGTCATCACTTAAGAAGTTTTTGGTTTCTCCAGAGTTAAATTATACTAAGGATGCTGTACCAAACACATCTAAAAAGGAATTTTTCAGCTATTACTTTTATAAGGAAATTTATAAAAATGGAATTTAAGCTCATCAGCAGAATAGCCATTAAAAACCTGTGACCTTTATTCACTCACCCCTGTAGAACAACACTATTTTCAGTCATTGCTCATTAATATTTTCAATGAAGCTTCCTTCCCAAGGGCATTCCTATTATGCCAAAGTATTAAGCAATGGCATTTATACCTGAGGTTTTCTACAATGCTTGTATTACATCATAATCTCCATCCCACCAGAGAAAGACATTCAATCCAATATTCCTTAACATATTCAACTGTTTACAAAACATACATACTAAGAAAACTAACTGCTAATTATCTAAGGCTGCTAACTACTCTCATACACAAACTTGTCAAACATTAAAAATAAACATGATAACTTACGAGAAGTGTCCTCCATTTCAGGCAAGAATCGAAACTCGTGGTCAAGTTCCACGGACTCCCCATCCACATCATCAACTTCAATAGCCTGCAATATAAAGCAATAACAATTGCAAGTTCTGAGTGCTATTTCAAAATGCTTTCTCCCTACTAATATACTGAATAATCATTTATTTTACAAAATATATACAGTACTGTATCTATTGATTATAACACACCCAAATGCCATTACAGAGATGACCATTATGACATGCTCGCACTTTTACTCGTAAATTTTACTCAGTGCTTTCAAAGTAGCGCAGCTGTCACACAACGTACAGGACATCACTAAGTCAATAGATAATGACAAATAAAGCCTCAGTGACATAACGACATTGTACTACACTATAAATAATAAATGACACAGTAACTAAAACTGCTAATGAAAATACGGCCAATTAATTTAAATCTTAATGAATTTTATCATACAACAGTAATTACAGATAAAAATACTGTTTTAGGGCACTGTCCTCACCAAAATCTATATTTTTGTATCGAGTGTGTTACAATAGGTATGGTAATGTTTAGACTTGAATGCTTACATACTTTTACACACGTACAATGTATATTTTGTGTGTCTGCAATTCCTAGTGTAATACAGCACTGTATTGTATCAGATAGCCTATAACTTATTTTAACAGCTATTGAAATTTCTTTTAACAACAACTGTCTCATACTCAGGCAGGGTGACCCAAAGTAAATATGGTCATTACTTATCATTAACTAAATTAATTAAGTTACATGTATCTAGTCTAAATATACATGTACTTTTAATTTGCAAATACAGTATGAGAAAAAAATCAGTTTTCCTAAGCTACTTTTTTTTTAATTTACCATAGAATTGTACTAATTCATTCAATCTTGCAAACATTGCCAGTGAATTTTCAAGAAATCCAATCAACAAAGCAATAATGTATAATCTGTATGTTTGATTAGGTAACAAGAAAAGCTTAACAAAGAATATGGATATGAAATGAGTTGATTCAATCCATCTTCTTTATTATCAGCAAATCTAATCAATTGTCATTTTACCATCACTTACCACTTTAGCCACTTTTGGACTTTTAAGTCTATGTACACCCTCCTCCTCCTCTGGCTCCTCTTCATCATCATCCTCATCTAGTTCCATTTCTGCCAGAGATAACATACATACATTAAGTAAACAGTAATACTTTATGATGATTAAAGATTATAATTATGGCATCAAAAAAAAAGAGAGAGAGATCAACAGTTTGTTCTCAAATTAAAGTAGACAATCTGTAATTTGAGTAATGGACTACAGTAACATCACTTTTTTTTTGGCATCATTTATTTCCCACTTAAAAAAAAGGTTGACCCAAAGGAAACACATTCATTATCACTCATTAACAAATGTCTTGCCAAAAGTGCATAATTGTAGGGAAGGGCATGAGGCATTGTGTAAAATGAAAGAGATGTAAAGCAGCTGGGACAGATGGGATCAAGAAAGAAATGTTAAAAGCAAGTGGGTGTATAGTGATGGAGTGGTTTATGTATTTGTTCAATAAATGAATGAAAAGGAAGGCAGCTGAAGATTGGCACAGAGTAAGCATAGTTTGTCTGTATTGTGGAGGGGAAGGCGGGAACAAGAGAGAATAAAAGAATTATGAGGAAAAAGCCTGTTGAGTATACTGGTTAATGTGTAAAGTAGAATTATTATGAAAAGTTAGGAATAAGAGAAATTAGGGCTGCTGAGGAACAGGGAGGATTAAGGACGAGCAGGAGATGTATAGACCAAGTGTTTATCTTGAAGCATACTGTTTAAGTGAGTATTGCTTAGATAAGGCTAAAGAGCTGTTTACTGCATTTATGGATCTACAAAAAAACATAATAGGCTGAAGAGGGAAATCATGTAGCAGATACTGGAAATGTATATAATAGGAGGTAGGTTATTAAGAGCAGTTGAGTGTTTTTACATGAATAGTTAGGCTCAGGTTAGGGTATGTTGGAGGGAGGAGGATTATTTCCCAATAAAAGCAAGACTTGGATAGGGATGTATGATGTCACCACGGTTGGTTAACATATTTATTAATGGTGTTGAATAAGTGAATACTAAGGTGTTGGGAAGAGGTGTAGGAGTACAAGATGTTGGTTCTGATACACACTGAATTTTATCCCAGCTGCTTTTTGTCGATGACAGTTCATTTGGATTCTCAAGACAAGTTGCAAAGGTTGGTGGATAAATTTGGGAGAGCAAGTAAAAAGGAAATTAAAAGAGAACACAGAAGACAGCAAAGTGATGAAGGTAACAAAGAGTCTTGGCAATGATAGACTGAATATCTGACCAGAGAGAGACTATGGAGGAAGTGGATACATTTAGATATCTGAGAGAAGACTTGTCATCAAAAGGGCCTATGAAAGACAGGGGGCAACCATAGAATAGATGAAGGGAAAAAAGGTGCGAGGTGTTAGATACATCTATAGAAACAAGTTTATGTATGTAGGGAAAAAAAAGTACCAGAGAATAATGGTATGAACACTTTAGATGTCATTTTTAAGAACAATGTATGGTGTGAACATCATGCAAAGAATTCAGAGCATAAGAAATTAAGAGGCAATATATGGGGGGTCACCAAGGATAAAATTCAGAGGACTGCGGTGGTTAGGGCATTTAGAGACGGAGGAGAGGAATAGGATAACAAAAAGGGTGTATAAATCTGGGGCAGAAAGTAGGAGGGGGTGAGGTAATCCCCAGAATGGTTGGAAAGACAACGTAAAGGAGGCTTTGAGTTGTAGACACTTGACCATCCAGAATTGTGTGAGTGGTAGATAAAAGTGAATGGACATAAGTGGTTTTTTAATGAATGTGGTGCTTGAATGTGAGCAAGGTAACATTTATGAAGAGTCAGGGAAAACTGATTATCAAGACTCGAGTTCTGGAGATGGGAAGGGCAGTGCCTGCACTCTGAAACTGGGATGGAGATGCTATAGTTGGAGAGTAATTTGAATTGTGACGTTGACATTTCTGGCAAGACAGTGAGTGAATGAATGATGACTGTATTTTCTTCTCTGAATCTCCCTGCCTTAGCAAGAGACAGTCATTGACATAAAAAGTAAAAAAAAAAAAATTTAATTTTTGTTATTTTTTATTAGCACATCAGCCATTTCCCACCAAGGTAGGTTGGCCCAAAAAGAAAAAACTTTCACCATAATTCACTCCATCACTGTCTTGCCAGAGACATGCTTATGCTTCAATTATAAAACTGCAACATAACACCCCTCCTTCAGAGTGCAGGCACTGTACTTCCCATCTCCAGGACTCAAGTCTGGCCTGCCAGTTTCCCTGAATCCCTTCATAAATATTATCCTGCTCATACTCCAACAGCACATCAAGTCCTAAAAACCATTTATCTCCATTCACTCCTAACATGCTCACACATGCTTGCTGAAAGTCCAAGCCCCTTGCACACTAAACCTCCTTTACTCTCCCCCTCCAACCTTCCCTAGGCCAACCTCTATCCCACCTTCCCTCCACCTCAGATTTATACATTCTTGAAGTCATTCTATTTTGATCCATCCTCTCTACATGTCCGAAGCACCTCAACCCTTCCTCAGCCCTCTGGATAATATAGTTTTGGTAACCCAGCACCTCCTAATTTCCTAACTATGAATTCTCTGCATCATTATATTCACACCACATATCGCCCTCAGACACATCTCCACTGCCTCTACCCTTCTTGTTGCAACATTCACCACACATGCCTTGCACCCATACAAGAGCATTGGTATAACTATACTCTCATACATTCTCCTCTTTGCTTCCATGGACAAAGTTCTTTGTCTCCAGACTCAGTGCATCACTCACCTTTTTCCCCCTCGTCAATAGTATGATTCACCTCGTCTTTCATAGACTCATCTGCTGACATGTCCACCCCTAAATATCTGAATACATTCACTTCCATGCTCTCTCCTTCCAATCTGATATCCAATCTTTCATCACCTAATCTTTTTATCCTCATCACCTTACTCTTTCCTGAATTCACTTTTAATTTCCTTCTTTTACATACCCTACTAAACTCATCAACCAACCTTTGCAACTTCTCTTCAGAATCTCCCAAAAGCAGTGTCATCAGCAAAGAGCAACTATGACAACTCCCGCCTTGTGTTAAATTCTTTATCTTTTAACCACACACCTCTTGGCGACACCCGAGAATTCACTTCTCTTACAACCCCATCTATAAATATACTGAACAACCATGGTGACATCACACATCCTTATCTAAGGCCTACTTTTACTGGGAAATAATCTCCCTCTCTACTACATATTCTAACCTGTGCCTCACTATCCTCGTAAAAAGTTTTCACTGCTTTCAATAACCTACCTCCTATTCCATACATTTGCAACTAATAATTACCTATATTTTGGCAAAATAATTTTTTACCTTGAATTATAAGATATGGACTCACATACAAGCGAAATTTAAGTCCCCTGTAGAACATGCAGAGGCATCAATTAATATAGAAATAATGCACATTCGATAAATTACCTTCATTTTGTAAGAAGTCAAAATTATCCATTACCGCTTTTTCTGCATCCCGTATCTGTGCCTCCAGCGTGGATTGTGGCTGAAAATGGCAAACAATAATTACACACTATTTTTTAACCTTAACTGATCAATTTCTCAGCAAATGTCCAGTATATTCTCATACACTACACACAGCTTGTGACCATTTTTTGTTCTGTACATTGTAGTCTCAGAAAAAAAAAAACTTTGTTGTGAAATGAAGAAAATGTTTGCCTACAACTATGTACTAAATAGGATTAATAAAATAATGAAAGCAAAAGGCCAAATGAACAGATGTTGATGTTTTGTATTTTCTAAGTTCCCTAATAAAGGTTATTTGACTGCATGTTTTACTCATCGTTTTTCGAAACATTTGTTCACGGTAAACTTTCTCTTGCAGACTAATTTTGGCCAGCTACAAATAAAAATTAAAGCAATCTCTAATATAATTAGCCCACCTTAATTTGTAATTTTTTTTTTTTTTTCAACAAGTCGGTCATCTCCCACCGAGGCAGGGTGACCCAAAAAAAGAAAGAAAATCTCCAAAAAGAAAATACTTTCATCATTCAACACTTTCACCACACTCACACATTATCACTGCTTTTGCAGAGGTGCTCAGAATACAACAGTTTAGAAGCATATACGTATAAAGATACACAAACATATCCCTCCAAACTGCCAATATCCCAAACCACTCCCTTTTAAAATGCTGGCATTGACTTCCCATTTCCAGGACTCAAGTCTGGACTATATGAAAATAACCCGGTTTTCCCTGAATCCCTTCACTAAATATTACCCTGCTCACACTCCAACAGATCGTCAGGTCCCAAGTATTCATTTTTCTCCATTCAATCCTATCTAACACGCTCATGCACCTTGCTGGAAGTCCAAGCCCCTTGCCCACAAAACCCCCTTTTCCCCCTCTTTCCAACCCTTTCGAGGACGACCCCTACCCCCTTTCCTTTCCCCCATAGATTCATATGCTTTCCATGTCATTCTACTTTGATCCATTCTCTCTTTAAATGACCAAACCACCTCAACAACCCCTCTTCTGCCCTCTGACTAATGCTTTTATTAACTCCACACCTTCTCCTAATTTCCACACTCCGAATTTTCTGCATAATATTTACACCACACATTGCCCTTAGACAGGACATCTCCACTGCCTCCAACCGTCTCCTCGCTGCTGCATTTACCACCCAAGCTTCACATCATATAAGAGTGTGGTACTACTATACTTTCATACATTCCCTTCTTTGCCTCCATAGATAACGTTTTTTGACTCCACATATACCTCAACGCACCACTCACCTTTTTTCCCTCATCAATTCTATGATTAACCTCATCCTTCATAATCCATCCGCCGACACGTCAACTCCCAAGTATCTGAAAACATCACTTCTTCCATACTCCATCCTCCCCAATTTGATATCCAATTTTTCTTTATCTAAATCATTTGATACCTCATCACCTTACTCTTTTCTATGTTCACTTTCAACTTTCTACCTTTACACACATTCTCAAACTCATCCACTAACCTTTGCAATTTTTCTTTAGAATCTCCCATAGCACAGTATCATCAGCAAAAAGTAACTGTGTCAATTCCCATTTTGAAATTGATTCCCCATAATTTAATCCCACCCCTCTCCCGAACACCCTAGCATTTACTTCTTTTACAACCCCATCTATAAATATATTAAACAACCATGGTGACATTACACATCCCTGTCTAAGACCTACTTTTACCGGGAAGTATTCTCCCTCTCTTCTACACACCCTAACCTGAGCCTCACTATCCTCATAAAAGCTCTTTACAGCATTTAGTAACTTACCACCTATTCCATAAACTTGCAACATCTGCCACATTGCTCCTCTATCCACTCTATCATATGCCTTTTCTAAATCCATAAATGCAATAAAAACTTCCCTACCTTTATCTAAATACTGTTCACATATATGCTTCAATGTAAACACTTGATTTACACATCCCCTACCCACTCTGAAACCTCCTTGCTCATCCGCAATTCTACATTCTGTCTTACCTCTAATTCTTTCAATTATAACCTACCGTATACTTTTCCTGGTATACTCAGTAAACTTATTCCTCTATAATTTTTACAATCTCTTTTGTCCCCTTTCCCTTTATATAAAGGGACTATACATGCTCTCCGCCAATCCCTAGGTACCTTCCCCTCTTTCATACATTTATTAAACAAAAGTACCAACCACTCCAACACTATATCCCCCCCTGCTTTAACATTTCTGTCATGATCCCATCAGTTCCAGCTGCTTTACCCCTTTTCATTCTACGTAATGCCTCACGTACCTCCACCACACTTACATTCTGCTCTTCTTCACTCCTAAAAGATGTATACCTCCTGGCCAGTGCATGAAATTACCGCCTCCCTTTCTTCCTCAACATTTAAAAGTTCCTCAAAATATTCTCGCCATCTACCTAATACCTCCCTCTCCCCATCTACTAACTCCCCTACTCTGTTTTTAATGGACAAATCCATACTTTCCCTAGGCTTTCTTAACTTGTTTAACTCTCTCCAAAATTTTTTCTTATTTTCATTAAAATTTCTTGACAGTGCCTCTCCCACTCTTTCATCTGCTCTCCTTTTGCACTCTCTCACCACTCTCTTCACCTTTCTTTTACTCTCCATATACTCTGCTCTTCTTAAAACACTTCTGCTTTGTAAAAACCTCTCGTAAGCTACCTTTTTCTCTTTTATCACACCCTTTACTTCATCATTCCACCAATCACATCCTCTTTCCTCCTGCCCCCACCCTCCTATAACCACAAACTTCTGCCCCACATCTAATACTGCATTTTTAAAAACTATTCCAACCCTCTTCAACCCCCGCCACTACTCATCTTTGCACTAGCCCACCTTTCTGCCAATAGTCGCTTATATCTCGCCCGAACTTCCTCCTCCCTTAGTTTATACACTTTCACCTCCCTCTTACTTGTTGTTGCCACCTTCCTCTTTTCCCATCTACCTCTTACTCTAACTGTAGCTACAACTAAATAATGATCTGATAATCAGTTGCCCCTCTATAAACATGTACATCCTGGAGCCTACCCATCAACCTTTTATCCACCAATACATAATCTAACAAACTACTTTCATTATGTGCTACATCATACCTTGTATATTTATTTATCCTCTTTTTCATAAAATATGTATTACTTATTACCAATTTCTTTCTACACATAGCTCAATTAAATTCTCCCCATTTACATTTACCCCTGGCACCCCAAATTTACCTACTACTCCCTCCATAACATTTTTACCCACTTTAGCATTGAAATCCCCAACCACCATTACTCTCACACTTGATTCAAAACTCCCCATGCATTCACTCAACATTTCCCAGAATCCCTCTCTCTCCTCTACACTTCCTCTCTTCTCCAGGTGCATACACGCTTACTATAACCCACTTTTCACATCCAATCTTTATTTTACTCCACATAATCCTTGAACTTATGCATTTGTAGTCCCTCTTTTCCTGCCATAGCTTATCCTTCAACATTATTGCTACTCCTTCTTTTAGCTCTAACTCTATTTGAAACCCCTGACCTAATCCCATTTATTCCTCTCCATTGAACTCTCCACCCCCTTCAGCTTTGTTTCACTTAAAGCCAGGACATCCAGTTTCTTCTCATTCATAACATCCACAATCACTCTTTCTTATCATTTGCACAACATCCACGCACATTCAGATTCCCACTTTGACAATTTTCTCTTCTTATTCTTTTAGTAATCTTTACAGGAAAAGGGGTTGCTAGCCCATTGTTCCCGGCATTTTAGTTGACTTTTACAACACGCATGGCTTACGGAGGAAAGATTCTTATTCCACTTCCCCATGGATATAAAAGGAAAAGTAATAAGACCAAGAACTATTAAGATAAAATCAAAGAAAACTCAGATGAGTGTGTATAAATAAACGTGTACATGTATGTGTAGTGTGACCTAAGTGTAAGTAGAAGTAGCAAGACGTACCTGTAATCTTGCATATTTATGAGACAGACAAAAGACACCAGCAATCCTACCATCATGTAAAACAATTACAGGCTTTCATTTTACACTCACTTGGCAGGACGGTAGTACCTCCCTGGGTGCTTGCTGTCTACCAACCTACTACCTACAAATGACTGATAACTACAATGTTTAACATCTTTCAAATTTGTTTCAGATTATTTACCTTTTTGGGAACATTCCATCGATTGGAGTCAGGCTGTCGTTTGGTTGTGTCTGAGCCATTCATAGCTGGAGTGTTATTGTGGTTTTCTTCATTTTCACCACTGCTAATTCCTAACAATGATCTAGAAAAAGATAAGTTTTAAACTAAGTGTGGAAAGACTAAATAAGGAACATTCAATACTGGTCTACACACATTTTACAAAGTTCATATTGTAATCAGTATTTTGTTCCACTGTATTTCACATGCAGTATTCAAGAAGATCCAGCATTTCTGCTACCTAAATATTTGTATCAAAACTGTCAGTCACACAGTACAGTATGACCAAACACCTTTTCAGGGAAAACTATTTTAGGTTTATTTAACCATTAAACTGTCCAAGCAGATCTACGTTCACATGCGTAGTGCTCCAAAAGTAGATCTATGTTTTTTTTACGTATTTTCAAATAAAAAAAAAAAAAAAAAAAAAACGTAGATCAAAGTTTTTTTTACACTTTTTCAAATGTAAAAAAAGAAAAGATCTACTTTTTTTACATACTTTCAAATGTTGAAAAAACGTTGATCTACGTTTGGACAGTTTAAGGGTTTAAAGTTGTTCAATAAAATTAAATAATGTACAGAACTGCTAAGAATCTTGTTATATTTTTATTTTGCATTAGTACTTTCAAACAAACCACACTTACAGAGCATGTACTGCAATATAGATACTCCAGTACATACTAGGAAGTGCACAAAAAGTGGCTCCATCAATTAGATAAAAGACACTCACCTTACTCTATTACTTCGTAAGTCTATAATTGTATCAGTGTACCCGATCTCTTGAAGATACCTGAAAATTTGTAAATGAAGTAAAATTTCTAAAATCAATCCAGTTTTTGCATATTTATTACTCAAAACATTTTCATTAATACAGTGGTACCTTGGTACATGTCCTTAATCCATTCCAGGACCTTGGACTTAATACCAAACAGGATGTATACCAAATAAATTTTCCCATAAGAAATACGTATAGGGAAAACTATTAATCCGTTCCCACGAAAAAAAATCCTATTGTTACTGGCATATTATACATTGACAGGGTTGTATAAAATAATTTAAACACTGCTTAACACTTAAACATGTAATCTAAACACTGCTTAATACTAAAATACATACATAAATACAATGAATCAGATAAAATAAATGCAAATTTAACCTCACTTTGCTGAAAAAGAGTAGAATGCCTACTAGGATAGCGCTAAGAAGGGAGGAGGAAATGTTATTGTTTGGAAGGAGAGTCCCCTTCTCTTTTCTGTCTCTCTCTTCCCTATTTGGACCTGGTTGAAGCTCACCAGGTTTGACTTTTCTTTGAATAGATTTTTAGTAACTTTGTTTCTGCCTTCTCCTCAGGATGTTTCGGAAATGTGACACTGTCTGGTCATTCCAGACAATGCTATTACAGCTTGTTTGGGCTGTGTTGGGGTGGTACTTCTCTGCCAAGTTTTTGACATCCAACCATTTGGCAAAAATTTCCTTGATTAATGAAATAGGGGCTTCCTCTATCTCCTCTTCCGTGCCTGAAGAGAGTGCATCCATCTTAGTCCTGTGCTCTTCCTCTTGATGCTAGTGGGCAGCTGTGGCTTTGTCTCGAGAGAGGGGTAAACAAGGGTAGCGCGCGATGTCGTGACTCATTTTGACCCATACGAGTTCTAGCACGCAAGTCGTATTCCAAACAAAGGTCATATACCAAGCAAAAATTTTCGCGTCCAAATAGGACATATACCAAGTTGGACTTATTCCAAAGAGAATGTATACTGAGGTATCACTGTATTCTTATTATTAAACTGCTGTATCTGCAAAAAATATGTATGTAAATCAACTGCAGACACTGCACAGCTCCACAGAAAGGTTCACAAATAAATATGACAAGGCCAAATCACAGTTTGTTGGAAATTAAGTGATGTGACCTGGAGCTAACCCACTTCTCCCCATAAGTTTAAACACAGTACCACAGGTAATTACAGGAAGACAATTGACACTTACTGTCTAAGTAAATGTCTTGATTGCTTCCATGATACATTGGTATTAGTAGAGAGTAAAGCATCGGTGTCTACCCGTACTTCCTCACCACCCTCTTCAACAGGTGGGTTCATATCCCCTTGTACTAAGTCCGTCCCGTATTTAAGCTTGTGATATTTAGCTCTGAAAAGGTATCATACATGATATTTAATTCTTTCACTAGTTGGAACATCAAATAAAACATAAGAGACCAATCAGTGAAGGTAATAGTATACATTATTAATAACTGTTCACAAAAATGATAGGTATACTGTATCTATAAACATTTTACAGTAATGCCAATAATACACATTTTTATAAAATGCAGTAGCAATAAACCTTACCTTTCTTGTTTTAATGCATATTCAAGCATTTTTATTCTTCTCACAAGATCATTCTTGAGATTTTCTTGCCCTTTCCTCTCTCCGTTAAGAAACGCAATCTTAGCCTGTTGGACATAAATAACACTAAAGTAAATATTGAGCATCACGATAATACAAAAGGGACTATTCATAACTCATAATAGTAGACACCTGTTTATTCACTCCATTAGATTCCTGGCATACTATAAATTAAACAGTTGTAAATGATGTTTGCAAAGAACGGGTGTATGAGAAAAAAAAATACTGTGGGTTCTTGGAACCTTCGATCCCTCCTCTTCACTAAAATATATACAGTGTACTGTACATATAAAATGTTGCTTGTATTTAGTTTCAAAATTAAAATTAGCACTAATTAACAAAAGCTCCAGAATGAAAGGTGTATTCAGCTTTTTTGTTGCAAACTACCAAGTAAATTTTGCTTTAAAAATTTTGTGGTCTTTTTTCTTTGACAATATTCCCTGGGACTATCATCAGTTCAAATTATCAAAATGTCCTACCTCTCTCTCTGTACTGTACTTGGGCTCTTCAAGTCAGAACTGCTATATCTCTATCAATACTTCCTTAGCTTGGCCTTAAATCTTTTCTAAGTTCCCATAAACCTTTCATCAAACCCACACTGTTCACTGCTAAAGATAAAATTGTAATATGCATGCAAAATGTGCAGCAACAAATTGGAGTAATTAGTACAACATTCCATTATGAAGCAACATAACTGGTCCACCTCTGAACAAGAAATACACCTCTAGTCCATATATTGTGAAGGGTGTAGAGCAGTGGCTCTTAACCCTTAAACTGTCCAAACGTAGATCTATGTCCATGTGCAGGGAGCTTGGAACATAGATCTACGTTGTTTTTTACGCGCTTTCAAATGGGGAAAATCAAGGTCGGAGCGCTACGCACGTGACGTAGATCTACATTTGGACAGTTTAAGGGTTAACCAGGAATACCCATACACCTGGGGGCATGACACAGCAAAGACTGGGTATGAGACACTGATTATTTCAAAATAATATAAAAAACAATGATAAATACTCTTTTCTTTAACAAAGTGTTTATTTTACAACTATGTTTACGGTAGCGTTGTATGCAGTTTCCTTCCACACTATTATCTTTTTTCATATGGTACCTGTTCAGTTTCACTGCTTGCACAGTTCCATTTTGTAAATGGTGTTGAGTTTGAATAGATATAATTCTGAAATTTATAATTATGAAATAAAAAGTAAGTTAAAAAGAGTGGCAAGAAAGTACAAAAGGAAAGCCAATGAGAGAGTGGTGATGTTTTATCAACAAATTTTACTGGAGAATAAGAAAGTTTTGAAGTGAGATCAATAAGATGAGAAAGCCTGGGCAACAAATTGATTTCTTAAGTTAAATATGAAAAAGGAGAGTTATTTGATGAGAAGGTGGAGGGACTATTTTCAGTTGTTAAATGTTGATGAAGACAGGGAGGCGGTAATTTCATGCATTAGGCACTTTAATTACTGGGAACATTTGAAGTCCCTTGACCTATACTCCCTGGAATGCAGGCGAGAAGGATTCATCATGATCTTCACATGGAAAATCCTGGAGGAACTGATCCCAAATCTGCACACAGAAATCACTCCCTACAAAAGCAAAAGATTAGGCAGACATGCCAACATACCCCCAATAAAAAGCAGGGGTGCCACAAATACACTAAGAAAATACAACAAGTGTCTGGGTCCCAAGACTGTTCAGCAGCATAAGGAGAATTACCAATATACCCCTGGCTACCTTCGAGAAGGAACTGGACAGATACCTAAAGTTAGTGCTCGATCAGCAAAGCCGTGGTTCATATAATGGATTGCGTGTGCCCAGCAGTAAAAGCCTGGTTGATCAGGCCCTGATCCATTGGGAGGCCTGGTCAAGGACTGGGCCGTGGGGGCAATGACCCTCATAACAACCTCCAGGTAGACTCCAAGAGTAAGGAAGAGCTGGATGTGAGCATGGGAAAGTGCAGGAGGTAGTGGGTAGAACAAAAGGGGGTAGTGCTGATGGAATAAATAATATTAAGAGAAATGTTATAAGCAGGAGGAGATACAGTTTTGGAGTGACAGACACACATGTTCAATATATGCATGAAAGGGATTAATGTATCTAAGGATTGGCAGAGAGCATGCACAGTACCTCTGCATAAGTAAAATTATAGTGATATAGGCCTTTCGAGTATACCAGGTAAAGTGTATGGCAGAGCTATTTTTGAAAGAACTAAGAGTTATACAGAGTTGGATTGCAGAGGAACACAGACCAAGTGTTGACACTGAAGCATATATGTACATGAACAATTCTTAAAGGTAAGAAATGTTTTGTTGCATTTGCGAATTTTGAAAAGGCATATGATATGGTGGATAAAAGAACAATGTGCCAGATGTTGCAAATGTATGAAATAGGTGGTAGATCATTAAAAACAGGAGTTTTTATGTAGATAGTGACACTCTGGTTAGAGTATGAAGGAAGGGAGGGGATTATTTTCCACTGAAAGCAGGTCTTGGACAAAGATGTGTGATGCCATCATAGGTGTTGAACATATTTTTTGATGGGGTTATAAATGAAGTGAAAATACCCTTGTACAGTAAACAAAAAGTAATTTCCAAGAAATTTACCAAGTGCAGAAGAGATTTCACTGGAAAATGGGAGGTAAACAATGACTTACACTGACGTGTCAATTTGAAAGATTTTTTTTTATCAAGGAAAGCCTTTATTACATACATACAGTACTTCACCCACACAGGGACTTGATCAGGTATATACTGTACAGAGAAATAAACTGAAAACTCTGCATATCCAGGATGCTTATATGCTTTTAAAGTCTGGCATCTTTAGTGTTGTTTCAACATGACTATTTTTAAACTGAGACCTATTTTGAAGTTTTTCTTAGATTTTTGTTACAGTATCTGCTTGTTTTTTAAGGTGTGGATACCACACAACAGCTGCATATTCCTAATGTATGTTGTGAACAACTTTTTCATCATTTGTGAAAAAATTATCATGGGCCAGTGTAGCATATGCTTTTCCCAAAATTTCATTTATATGATCTTGTGGTGGCCTTAAAATATTTGGAGAGATTAAACACAAACGTCCACTTCTTTAATCAGACAGAGCAGTTTAATAACAGTACCACTGATTGTAAAGTGTGATACAATACCACAACAATTTTGGGAAAATAACTCTTACTAATAATATAAATATCACCAAATAAATTTTTATTTAGGTTTTTCCATATGAAGCATAAAAAATATTTTTTCAATTGTCTTGAGTTATAGCCATAAAAAAGTACATTACATCACAGATTTAGCCTACAGACATTTCAGTCTGACTTCAACAATTAACTAGTAACACCCTAAGTTTCATTCTCCTATGCATGGTTTATTTGTGTTTTGTTCTAGTCATGATATGTCTGTTTATTCTTTAATGTGACTTATTTACGTTAGAATCCCTAACTGTCACAGTCAAACGCTTTAGAAATGCTGATATATATTTTTATTCACGTGGATTAATCAACTTAAGTCTTAAAATAAGAAAATATTACTAAAACATCCTCTAAGTGGAAAGGGAAATTTAAGCAAATATCCAAAAAATGTAAGTCATTCATAATGAATAATTATTATTTTTTTATAATGTAAAACAGAAAAGAACTATAATTATAAAAAGGACATTGCTGAATACACTTGTAATATGCTTGATTATTTCAATACAAGTTTATTTTGGTACAGGTAGACAAGTACAGTTACACAAATTATTATACATATTAACATATGTGTAAATTACCTAGGACAACCCAAAAAAAACACTAAGTGACTTATTTCCATTGGGGTCCTTGTATATAGACCTGAAGTTCAGGAAAGGAACAACTACTTTACATCTTCTATTATTCTCAATTTCTTGATTTGTATTCATGACAGTTATATAATTAAGAGAGAAAATGCGAGTATGGAAGATCACTTGGATCACCATAAACATTACGAGGCTACCCAAATAAAGACACATGAATTATACCCTTTAAAGGAAGTGCGTGCCTCTTGTATAGTATTAATAAAGGTTTTAGTGTATAGCCCACCTGGGTGGGTTGGGTAGAGGGTAGTGACCCTGAAAGGAGTGTTAAGGAAGGTCAGAAACAATAGGTATTGTTAGAGAATGGCAACTCCTCAACAGCTGATCACCGTCAATCAATGATCCACCCACACCCCTTTTCTCTCACGCACCAAATTTGGCTTATTCCTTTCTTATATCCCACTAGAGACTCTCCAGTTGCACACTGCACGAGACGGGGAAGTTAGGGGAAGGCTATGAGGTGCAGGAGGAAGAGACAGAGAGGAATAATAACGGCAAAACAAACCTGAAGTTCCGCCCTCTCCAGCTCCCACTGAGAGCGCTCCATCTCAAATCTTGCCCACTCATGTTGTATGAAGTGCAGTATGCCAGGGATGGAGTACTGTACCCGCTGCGTCGCCTCCTCCAGGTTCTGTCTGGTGGCCACACCAGCCGGACCGCCACTCCCTCCCAGCTGGTTCTGACTCGAAGCCTCGTCCATCCTGGGTAATTTCATACCATGGCAGCCATGACACCGTCACTCCTCACATCCTCGCCGGTCACCACCAACACACACTCTTCTGAAACACTTTATACCACTTATTACCTTCTCTAGCCTCTCTCTCTCATATACACTATAAAATAAAAATACCCGAGTACATGTTATCATTTTCCTCACCTCTTGGCGTGTGTGTATTGTTAAAATAGGGATGTTGGAGGAAGTAATAAAATGTTATGGGAACGTGAGGGGCTGAGAGGGATGGTGAGTGGGAGAGAAAAGTTATGGTGAGGGAGACAAGGACGCTGCTGCTCCTCATCTCTCTCTCTCTCCTCACACTGCTCTTACACCTCATACACATATACTCTCTTCATCTGTAGTGACGTGACGCCTGTATGGAGACCACGGAATAGCTGTCACTACATCATTAAGGTAGAAATGTATTACCTCGAAAATAACTTTTAACACCCTAATGGAAATAAGTCACTTTTGATTTTTTTGGTGGTTGAGGGGGGAGGTTATCGTAGGTAATTTACATATTACTATGTATGATAATTTGTGTAACTATTTGTGTGCCTGTACCTAAATAAACTCTTATACCCTAATGAAAATAAGTCACTTAGTTTTATTAAGTTATCCAATGTTAGTTAACCTTGTTTCTTTATAAGACATTTGTAATCATCCAAAATTGTGTAATCAGTGCCTAAATAAACTTAACAGTGAATGACACCCGCGGGAAAATATTTATATATGTACTTTTAGTATTGAGAGAGAGTTATTTTAGCAAGGACCCCACTGAAAGTAAGTCACTTTGATTTTTAGGTTATCCTAGGTAATTTATACTATGTATGATAATTGTAATTATGTCTGCCTGTGGCTAAATAAACTTAGTTTTTTATAAGTAATGTATGAACAACCCCAGTATAACTGTCTGAAATGCCCCGGCATGATAGTGGCTTTCTTTGTATTTAACAAATCAAAATTGTAAATACACATTGTAACCTTGAAAAGAAATAAAATCTTTAACTTTTAAGATACTGACCTGCCCATAATAGAGTATTGTATTTTGACAGGTATTTAAAAGTGGCACTGTACTGTGTCAGCTTTACTCTTATTACTGCACCTATTACATACATAGAACACTTAACTCTGATATTAACCCTCCCCTCAAACATCTCCTTGCCAACCTCAACAGAACACATGACCATAACACAAGGCACAGATCACTCTTTGATGTTCCTCGTGTCCATCTCACACTATGCAAAAACTCAATGCACATAAAAGGCCCTAAAATCTGGAACTCACTACCTGTAAATATAAAAGAAACACTACCTGTTTATAAATTCAAGTCTCTTCTCAAAGATCACTTACTCACCCAAAACCAAATAAATACTGAATAACTGAACCTTATAAATTGTATATCTTAAATGTTTCTCACAATTATATCACATAAATGTTAAACCTAAAACCCAATCTAACTTTATTATTTTTTAAATACACTACCTAACAGAATACTCCATTCTACTGAATGTACAACAATGCATACAACCATATGACCTGTCTTTGTAATACTCACTTGTGCTTTATAGTAATCTGTTTACATTAAAGTTTTATCACCGATGTCATCATTGCTTAGTTCATCTTAAGTTAATTTTAAGCCAGCCCGTAATGCTATGCATAGTATAAGTGGCTTTGGCATACTGCTCTTTTCTGTATTTTTTGTACCTCTGTATGTGTGCACAAATTTTTAAATAAATAAATAAATAAATAAATAAATAAAAGGATAAGCTGATTTTTAACACCTGTAAGCATTCAGCAAGAATGCTGTTGAAGGACTCCTGATCCAAGGAATTGGAGCTACCATGCTCTTGGATCAAACTTTATTACCTCTCATTTTTCAAGTGCTGCTTGACCCCCTATGAGTTCAGTGAAGAAAATTTAATTTTTAAACAACCCAAAGACTTACCAGCAAAGGATAACCCAAGAAAGCCACTGTCTGGCTTATTGTCATTGGGGTCCTATTATCATCATCTGCAGAATGCAACCCACAACAGTCTGCTAACAACTAGGTACCGAATTATTGCTAGGTGAACGGGGCAGTGTTTCAGCTTGTGCCAGTATTGTACCTAGGACCTAAGAATGTGCCACCACTTGAACTCAGTGGAAATAAGTCATCTTGTCTGACTTTTTTGGGTTATTCTAGGTAATTTACAGTGTATGATAATTGTACTTGTGTGTACCTGTGCCTAAATATACTCAGCACATGTTATGAGCCATGAGGACTTGCACATCTTTAAAAGTGATCTGTAATATCAGTGTATCCTTATTTTAAATAAAAAAAATTAAATATTTATAATTGTTACAAGATTAGATAACTTAATAAAACTAAGTGACTTATTTTCATTAGGGTATAAGAGTTTATTTAGGTACAGGTACACAAATAGTTACACAAATTATCATACATAGTAATATGTAAATTACCTACGATAACCTTCCCCCCCAACCACCAAAAAAATCAAGGCTGGAATATTGCTGCACACTAACAGCACCTTTCAAGGCAGGTGAAATTGCTGACCTAGAAAATGTAGAGAGAACCTTCATGGCGCGCATAACTGAGATAAAACACCTCAATTACTGGGAGCGCTTGAGGTTCCTAAACCTGTATTCCCTGGAACGCAGGCGGGAGAGATACATGATTATATACACCTGGAAAATTCTAGAGGGACTAGTACCGAACTTGCACATGAAAATCACTCACTACGAAAGCAAAAGACTTGGCAGACGATGCAACATCCCCCCAATGAAAAGCAGGGGTGTCACTAGCACGTTAAGAGACCATACAATAAGTGTCAGGGGCCCGAGACTGTTCAACTGCCTCCCAGCATACATAAGGGGGATTACCAACAGACCCCTGGCAGTCTTAAAGCTGGCACTGGACAAGCACCTAAAGTCGGTTCCTGACCAGCCAGCAGTAACAGCATGGTTGATCAGGCTCTGATCCACCAGGAGGCCTGGTCACAGACCGGGCCGCGGGGGCGTTGACCCCCGGAACTCTCTCCAGGTAAACTCCAGGTACAGGGTAATCTGAAAAGCCCCTGGTTATACAGAGCATTTTGGGTGATACTTCCACAGTTCCCAGAGTCACTAAAAGTTTCCTGCAAATAGATAAATAATTTTTGGTTAGGATAGATTATATAAGCCTAAAAAACACATTTAACCACAGGTACAGTAAATTAAAATGAAGACATTAGTGGCATGTTTGGAAGTGGAGCACGTATATACCTACACAAGCCCAAACAATGTCCAAATTTTCATATTAATTGACATTTGTCAAAGGCACTTTCGGCCTGTTGTATGTGCATGTGTGTGCATCATTTGGGGTGTGTAGATGGACTGAATGTTCAGGAAGTTCTTCGTTGATATTTCTAGGACCCCCTGCACTAAGGGTATTGCCTGCCCATAATGCTCTGCATACAAGGGGCTTTTGGCATGTACACTCAATCACTATATTTCTTTGTACAACTATGTATCATGTTCAAATAAAAATAAATAAATAAATAAATAAAAGAGGTCAGATCTAATGGTTCTCGACTTGACCGACTTAATGACTCCCATCTGCAGTTATTCACAGGTGGCCTGGTGGTTAACGCTCTCGCTTCACACAGTGAGGGCCTGGGTTCGATTCCCAGATAGAGTAGAAACATTGGACGTGTTTCTTTCCACCTGTTGTCTATGTTCCCCATCAGTAAAATGGGTACCTGGGTGTTAGTCGACTGGTGTGGGTCGCATCCTGGGACACTGACCTAAGGAGGCCTGGTCACAGACCGGGCCACGGGGGAGTTGACCCCCGGAACTCTCTCCAGAAACTCCAGAAACACATAGAAAAGAGGAGCTTACGACGACATTTCTGTCCGACTTAGACCGAAACGTCATCGTACAGGTCAGCTATAGATTTCATTAAGTCTAAGGGAGGGATCCCAATCATATGTAGCATCTTGCCTAGAAGGGGAGTAGGAAATGAATGGTTGTCTAGGGCAATTGGTGTAAATTGCTGGCTAGACAGATACTGCAAGGAACTTGCAATCCCATTCATTGACAACTGGAACAACTTTTATGGCAAACATGATATGTATGCAAGGGATGGGGTACATCTCTCTGGGGCTGGGGTGGTAGCACTTGCAGACTCGATTGAGAAGGCCATTGGTGAAATGCCTATGATTTTAAACTGATGGAAGATAGAGGTATGGGTGTGTGTGGGAAACAAGCAGGTTGCAACACTTGGGTTGGAAACAGTAAATGTATAAAAGGCATTCAGCATGAAGTTATAAATAAAGACAATAGATCAGGTCAGCAAACAAAGGGGGACAGCAGAGGGCAGCAAGGGACTAGCTCCCTTAAGGTTTACTATACTAATAGCAGGAGTGTAAGAAATAAGATAGATGAGCTAAGATTAATTGCAAGTGCAGGAAACATAGATATTATTGCTATAACAGAGACCTGGCTCAATCTGAAAGATAGAGAGATGCCCTCTGAATGTCACATACAAGGCTATAAATTATTCCACACTGACAGGGTCAACAGGAAAGGTGGTGGAGTAGCGATGTATGTCAGAGACAATTTAAATTGTTGTGTTAGACAAGATATTAAATTAGAAGCGTCAGCCACTGAATCTGCTTGGTTACAGCTTCTCGAGGGCCGAGAAAAACTGATTTTGGGTGTGATTTACAGGGCCCCAAATCTTGATAGGGAGTGCAGTAAACTTCTATGGGACAAAATTCGTAAGGCATCTACATACGAAAATGTTGTGCTAATGGGAGATTTCAACTATAGACAGATTGACTGGAGCAATTTGACAGGAAATTTAGAGTCAGGTGACTTTCTTGTGATACGATCCAGGATTGTTTTTTAAAACAGTTTGTGACAGAGCCAACTAGGGGAAATAACCTCCTTGACTTGGTTCTTGCCAGTAGGGAAACACTAATTAATAATCTTGAGGTTAATGATGAGCTTGGGGAAAGTGATCACAAATCACTCAGTTTTAATATATCATGGAATTCCCCTAATAATGGCAATCAAGTCTCCGTCCCTGACTTTCGCTTGGCTGATTTCATAGGACTGAAAAATTACTTAGGTGGGCTGAACTGGAATGACCTGACTAAGGGTCAGGTAGGTGGTGATGGTTGCCGATATGATGCTTTCCAGGGCATAGTTCTAGCTGCTCAGTCAAATTATGTTCCAAATAGGGAAATCAGATCAAACAAAAATGATCCTAAATGGATGAACAATAGATTAAAATATCTGATTGGTCAAAAGAGAGGCATATATAGGCAAATCAAAAGAGGAGAGGGACAATTAAGAAATCGATATATTCAGTTAAAGAGAGAAATAAAAAAGGGAATTAGAAAAGCAAAAAGAGATTATGAGGTTAAAGT